TGCGCAGAGTTTAATAAACTGGTATACTAGCCGTGCTCACGGTCACGAGCGGCCAAGGGATTCTTACGTAATAGATGATGATTCTTACATTGTTAAAGATGTTCATTTATGTTTATCATTTAAACTATTTATTATTCATGTTCATTGATCATGTGTTTATGGGCTATAATCTCTTTGCTGCTACTCAATTGCCTAAATATGAGATATACTGAAAGGCTAAATGTAGTTTAACCAGTGTCAGCTATTTGAGCCTCATAAACCTCATGTTATATTTGCTGAGTTCGATATGGACTCACCCTTACAATTTCCCCCACACCTTAGGAGGAGTTAGGCTTGTGATCAACCAGTCAGTTGGGTCAAGTAGAGTGAAGTCTACACCCGGAGATCAGAGTTGGTTAATTCTTTTTCTAAGTACACTATGTATTTAGGCATTATGATTTGATACTACCCCTTTATTTGTAGCTATACGTGAGATTTGCTTCTAAAGACTCACATATGGTGTGCATCAGATTTTGTTCTTAAAACCAGATGTTACAATAGGCATTGCTTGCGTGCCCGATCGATATTCTCAATGAAACCTTTAGGTACTTTTATGGTGCATAGGGTATAGGTGACAATAGGGGTGATAGCTGAGTTGATCATCTGTAACCTACCAGAGTATGACAGCCATGTTGAGCAAGCAGAAAGTCTCCTTTCAACCCTGTCCATAATAGGCGTTAAATCATCTATTCTCGGTTTAGTAGTACTCATTGGTAGTCTCAAATAAGTAAGGGGAAGAGAGCCAATTTAACACCCAAAGGTACTGGCTAGATGTTGCTTCTTGGTGTATTCTGTTATCTGTCCACTTGATATTATTGAAACACCAATCATTTCTGGCACTCAAAATATATCATAGAGTAGTGAGGATTCTCTGTAATAAATCATCAGAGACAGAGGATGGTATAAGCATGGCTAAGGTGAGTGCACTCCGTCAGGTACCTGTGGAAGAAGGTCAGTCCTCAAAGGAGGATTGGGGCCAAACCAGGTTGCCCTAGCAAAAATCAGAGTCAAAAAACAAGTGTTTGTCAGTTTCAACAGAATCACACAATTTGCATGTTTTGTCTATGTGAGTGGAGAAGTGTGCTGCTCTCTCTGCTGTAGCAAGAGCCAGGTGAAGGTTTTAGTGCTAGGAGGCAACGTCTTATGGCACCAAGTTCTTTGAAGAATTAGTATCGTTTGAGATGTTAAGCTTCTGCTTCCTTGAGTAGATGGTGGTCGTCGGTTTTGTTGGTGTCCTCTTCTTGGGAGTGAACCACCGGTATCTCAGCATACTCTAAGGAGCAGCATTTTTCAAAAATATTCCTTCCATCCATTTATCGGAGTCATCTTACCGAAAAAAAAATTCTTCAACAATCGGAGTCGTCTAAACTAGGGACCACAGTTTTCACATTCAGGGGCGGAGCTATAGTATGCTTTGTGGGTGCGGCCGCACCCCCTAAAAATTTGAAAAACAGTGATAAGACTCAAATTTCCACCATATATGCACCCATAAATTAAAAACCTTTGCACCCACAATAGCAGTGGCACCCCTCAGGTTTGCTCTAGCTCCGCCACTGTTCACATTGTCCCATGCGCATGCGGCTTCTCTCACTGGCCCAATTAATTCAACTGTCTGCATGCAACTCCTCTCACTTGCGCACGACCCTAAAATGACTCCGATAAATGGACGGAGGGAATAATAGAGATAAGAGTGGTATTCCACGTTCTAAAATCATGGTGCCAAAGATCAGCAACTTTATTGGGAAGGGGGGTTTGACGTGGGGGAAGAATCAGACTGTTGTGGGTGTCTTCCCAACCCTTATACCAAGGATCAGTCCAAATGTTGGTGTTGCCCGAATTTGGTATATGCAGTTGTTGTGAAGGTGTTGCTTTATCTTCATTACAGAGGCCAAGAAGACTGACCTAGGAGCAGAGGAGCTACTGGACTAGAAAGAGGAGTTGGGGAAAATTTTGGATTTGAGGATAGCGGAGAGGTAAGGATCTTTTCCAGCAACAATCATCCAGGCTAAGTGGATGGCTAAACTTTTATTAACAATGTGGAGATTTCTAATACCTAAACCTCCCAAGGATTTTGGCTGGCAAATGTCCTCCCATGCTCTGAAGTGGATGGGGTAAGTCTGGCTGTCCTCTTGGATCCCTGCCCACCAAAGACGTTTTGAGAATAGTGTCGATCTTGTCGTTGAATTTTTGGGGAGGAGGATGTTGGTCATGTAGCAAATAGGGATGGAAGCCAGCACAGAGTAAATGTAAGAGAGGCGCCCAGCATGAGCCAAGTATTGTAAATGTGCCGGCAAAGTTCCAGTATGGCTGCGCCATGGGAGAACACCACGACCGGCTCCCCTGTTAGTGTAGTAGCAGCATTAGGAGAGAATCCAAACACTTCAATTGCGGGAACTTGTGGTGAGCAGTGAAATTAATAGATTGTTCTGATTGTTAAGCCTATTTGAAGCTTTTAAGTGTTTTCCATACTAGACATGAGAAGATGAGAACATTTGCTGATTACCAATGTGTTTGGGCAACCTTATTCAGGTAGGAGGCGCAGCGCTCATTCAACTGATTCGGGCTCTCTCCGCCACCCTGGGCACAATTGCAAGTTTTGATAAAACCTTCAAATGAAGCACAGATTGGTTTAGTTTGCCATTGCTGCAAGTCGCTAAGGGGAAATATGTGTTGTTTGGAACACATCCAATTCAGTTTTAACTAGCAACAGTAGGTTGAAAGCATTAGTGATAGTCTTGCATGCCGTCAGTCAATTCAAGATCTGAATCAAACAGAGGCCACTGTGACTTATGAAACAGAGGATGAACAAAACTTTGTATGGACCCAAATGGCAGATCATTAGCAAAAAATGTGCAATTCTACTACTGAAATATGGTACAGGTCAGACTTGGCAGTTACCATTTCAATCTGGAGTTCTGGACAAAGCTGCAAACTTAAGAACAATACTTGATTTCTGCTGCCAAGGTCAAACTTAAGGGTAATTCTTGATTTCTGCTGTCAAGGTCAAAAGCCTCTGAAAGCATCTGGACTATTAGCGATGGCACCATCCCACTTGAGGCCTTGGAGACATCCCATGTGCCTCTCTCTCAGCGCCTCATTCAACACCACCTGAGACAGACAAATTGTAATTGAGACTTGAGAGGGGAACATATGCAGAATGTACTGTGTGTACTCTGTTTTTTTTTAAAAAAAACACTATATATATATAACAGAGAGCACTTACATTTGATACACGACAAGCTTTGGATATGATTTCAGTAGTTTCAGTGGCTCGCTTCAAATCAAAAGAGTACACAGCAGCAGGCTTGGATTCTCTCAGCAGCCAGCAGGCCACCTTACAAGGTTCATCATCAGGTTTTGGCCAGAAATATAATGTCAGTGCTAGAGCTGGGATTGGGAATATCCATCACATTCTACATCGTGGTTTGAGCAAACAGACATTACCACGACAGCATGCTGCCAGCCAGCCTCATTTATCCTCGAGCAAATTATTTCCTTGGCCCTACTAAAAGTTCGTCTTAGTTTCTTGGCCCTTTTTTTGACGAATTTGGTTATTTAGCCTACTTTCGAGTTTGGTTAGTTTTTCGGCCCTTCCGTCAGTTTCGTGACTTAACGGGGTTAAGTGGTATGCGAAATGACTATTTTGCCCCTGGCGTCTAATGAAAGAGATCATCACCGTACAGGTTCTGTTTGGTCAGGTTGCTTAGCACCAATATTTTCTCAAAATAATCCGCAATAATAAGGGCCAACGAAAGTAGGCTAAATAACCAAAACTCAAAAGTGCTGAACCAAGCCACGGAATTGATGGAAGGGCCAACGAACTAACCAAAACTCAAAAGTAGGCTAAATAGCCAAATTCACTAAAATAAGGGCCAAGAAACTAAGACGCCCTTTTAATAGGGCCATGGAAATAATTTGCTCTTTATCTTCTTGATCATTTATCCTTCGTCATTGGTCAAGGATGAATTATGTAAGAAATCTGCTTTCTGGAGAACACTTGACAATTGCTGAAATGGATGAATGGCATCAGGCCATCAGATGGTTGAGCTCCTACATAGGAGTACATCTAATGGCCAAGGATGATGGCCTACAGGCTACATGCTCAAGTACAGAGATACATTGTACCATTGTTTTCTACTAGCAATGGCTCAAAACAGAGGCTTACTATATTTTTCAAGTAAATTACAGCAGGAGATAGATATAATCACTCCAAAAAATTTACATGTCACTCAAGATGTATCAGCACAGTTGAGGATTCAAGTCATTTACAAAAATGTTAGGTAGGCTTCCAAGTAAAATGATATTTCAAACATTAGCTGATTGTGGACCTGAGAAAAAAATTCTAACCTCATTTCCAATGAACTGCAGAGATCTGCCTTATGGACAGTTGTACTCATTATCAACACATCATGTGGAAAGGCAGATACTGTGAGATCCTTAGGGAGCGTCTTACAGATAACCAATCAAGATAAACTATTTGTTTTATTTTTCATTGAAGTTTTCCAGTAGGGGTGCAAACCCCTCCTGTTCCATAAAAAGAAATCAAGACAAACTGTTGCTGTAAACATAGCTTGTGTGAGAAAAAATAGAAGAAGCATTTTCAACAGTGGGGAAAAATACCCAAGCTTCAATTATAGAATCACACGAATGATTAAGAGGTACATATGATCGGTTTTATCGCCGGGAGTGCAGGGTTTCCTCACAAATTATGCAATAAAAGGTAGAGTACAGTGCTACTCATTAATTTGTAAACTGATTCCTTCTAAAGCTAAGATTGGCCACAACATCATTTTACCTGTGATAAACATGATACTGAAGTGCATTAACAAGAGAAATTTCTGTAGAGAATTTCATCATTGAATCATACCACAGAGCATGGCAACAAAAATCAGCCAGAACAGTCACTCCAAAAAATCCACATGCCACACATTTGAAAACCGAATCCATTTCTGACATAATACTCATTTCTTGGCTTCATTGAGGACACGATACTTTTCAGGCAGAGACTTTGCATGGCGCTGGTATTCCTCCCTCGAGAAAAGTGATATAAGCATGGCAGTAGTGGAAACTTCAAGTGAAAAACTCTTCTCATCAAGTTTGGAGAGGTAAACCCCAGCCCTGGTTATGTCGCCTCTATGTAAAAACCTCCTAACTAGAGCATTTAACATACGTGAGTCCGGAGCGGTACCACCCTTTTCCATTCCTGACAACAGACCATCGAACTCCTCTAGGGACCCTTCTTCTATGAGATTTTCTGCTATTAAGCAGTAGGTCACAACATCTGGAACCAAACCATAAGAAGAGATAGTAGCGAACAAATTCATGGCATCTTCCTTTCTGCCACCCTTGAGCAAAGCATCAATCATAATGGTGAAAGTAATAATGTTAAGTTGAAGATCCTTAGAACACAAGCTCTGAAACATTTTGAATGCTTCATCAACAAAATTATTCTTGCAAAGCCCATTTAGAATTATGTTGTATGTGTAAATGCTCCACTTTGTTGTGCTGTTGATCATATTGAGATAGAGTTCCTTTGCTTCAGAAAATCTCCTAGTCTGAAACAAACCATGCAATATAGTATTGTAAGCCACAACTCCAGGCGTAAGTCCCTTCGTTGACATTTCTCGGAAAAGCTTATAAGCATCATCTATCCTTCGAGCTTTGCAATAGCCATGAAGCAAAGTATTATAAGTGATTTCATCAGGTTTCAGGCCAATTGAGACCATAACATCAAGTAGCTTTGCCGCTTCATCAATTCTACCAGTTATGCAGTGGCCATCAACTAATGTATTATATGAGATAACATCAGGCCTCACGCCTACATGTTCCATCGAGTCAATTAGCCTCTGGGCTTCCATAACCCGTCCTTCTTTGCATAAGTTACACATTACGGTGTTGAAGAACACGACGTCAGGACAAATTCCTTGATTCAACATTTCAAAAAATAATTCCTCAGTTTTCTCCCATTTGTCAACGGTGCACAGTCCATAAACTAGGGAGTTAAAAACAAAGATGCTAGGAGGGACTCCTTCGTTGATCATCTGATTGAATTTGAGCACAGCATCGTCTACTCTGCCTACCTTGCATAGTGCATCTATTAGTGCTCCATAGCTGACTTCATCAGGACTCAATCCTTGCTGCCTCATTTTAGTAAATATATGCATTGCCTCCTCTATCATTCCCTTCCTAGCATATGCCGAGAACATTATGTTGAAGATGTGATGATTAGGTGAAACACCATTTTCTACCATCAAATCTAGGAAACTATGCATTTCAGAAAGAACACCTTTGGTAGCATATCCATGAAGCATAATGCCATAGGTACTTACATCAGGTTTTATGCCCTTCCTAATCATAGAATCAAAAATCGTCCTGGCTTCTGTGCATTTCCCATTCTTGCATAGATAGTCCAGCAGCAAACCATAAGTAACAACATTTGGGTCAAGACCACGTGCGTACATTTCTTCAAGCCTTCGAACCACCTCTTTCCACTGCCCTATAGAGAGATATCCATCGATCAGACATGTGTAAGTCACAATGTTGGGCTTTACACCTTTATCAATCATCTGCTGAAAGACAACCTTGGCCCTGTCAACCAATTGAGCTTTGCACAGGCCATCAATTACCGTCGTGTATGTCACAGCATTCGGTGAAATCCCGCGATCCATCATTTGAAGAAACAGGTTGTACCCTTTGTCCACTTGACCCTCAATAAAGAAACCATTGATGACGGTGCTGTAGGGCACCACATCCGGTGGGCAGCTCCTAACTTGATCATCAACCATCATGTGCAGAAGCTCAAGTGCCTCCTCAGTTCTCTTTTCATTGCAGAAACCTTTGAGAAGTGTAGTGTATGATACTACATTAGGTGTGCAGCCAAGCTCAGGCATTCGTTTGAGCAAAACGTCCATGGCCTCACCCACCCTCTTCACGTCACAGAGACCTTTGAGCAGTTGATTGATGACTATGTCATTCACTCTCCAGCCCGTCTTGAGGATGACGCCAAAGGTGGCGAAGCCATGCTCCAGGCGGCCCATGCGGCAGAAGCAGCCCATGAGTATGCTGTAGGTGTAAAGGTCTGGAGCCAACTTCAAGGTGCATTCACGGATCATCCGGTTGAAGAGGGAGACGACGAGCTCTGACTCTGAGGTGGAGGAGCGTCGTCCTGAGGCCCGAGACACAGCGGTGAGGATCTGGTTGAAGGCAGTAACCGAGGCGGGCTTGGCGTGGGTAAGCAATCCGTCGAACAGCTTGAGCGCGTTGTCGAGGCCGAGGCTTCCTGAGCGGGCGCGAGTGCTGATGACGCGGTCCAGCTCCAAGCACCGGTCGGCGGCGGCGCTCACGCTGCGCGACATGACGACGGGGCGCCGCGGCGCGGCTACAGGCCCGGAGACGAGAGGCACGGACAGCGCCGCGTTAGTCTCCGGATCGGGAAAGCAGAGCAGCAGCAGCCCAGTGAGGTGGCCAGAGCCGCGCGTGCTGCGTCGTGGAGTGTGTGAGGACAGCCCAGCGAGGTGGCCAGAGCCGCGCGTGGCGGCGGCGTGGGCGGGTTGGCTTGGCGGTGGCGGTGGCGGTGGCGGTGGCGGTGGCAGGGTCGGGGGTGGGGAGGGGGGCGAGTGCGGGGAAGTCCTGAGTCCGCACTCCGCAGCGCTCGCTCTCTCCAGGAGCCGATTTATATTTCTACTTTTAACCTTTTTTATTTAATCTAAATATTTTAAGATTAACCTGGTTTGAAAAGTTTTTGCAGATCTAATTGTTTGGCTCCCATTCACAGATTTACCCTCCTTTTCAAACTCCAATGCACTTTCAAAATCCAACTCAACACAAATCAATTTTAACTCCAATTATTGATTCTTTAAAAAAAACAATGGGATAAAGTTCAAATATCAGAACCATTTTCCAAGGATGGTTCAATCCACAATTATTCGTTCTGAAATGGTATGACTGCATGAGCTAATGAGAAATGGGAGCAGCTGAACTCCCATCGCTCCCAAATGAGTTCTCGAGAAAGTCATATTTCCTTTGAGATGGCTGATGTCTCCACACCTCTCGAAGGCCCACTGCCTGGAGACGCGGAAAACCGTCAGCGAAGTGTTGGGAATGTGCCGGATCGAGCTGTTGTGTGGGTCAGTGTGCCGGCAGTGTAGTAACAGCACCATTACACGCTCCCCTATCAGTGTAGTAACAGCCATCAGCAGAAATTCCAAACACTTCGTGCGAGCAGATATTCAGAGGGATCAGTGAAATGTAATATAGATTCTTCTGATTGTTAAGCCTTTTTGAAGCTTTCAGTTCAGTGTTTCCCATGCTGGACATGAGGCGATGGCGACATTTGCTGATCACCAATGTGTTCTTTGGCAATCTTATTAAAGGAGATGCAGCGCTCATTCAGGCTCTCTCCATCAGCCTGGACACAAAGTTTTGATAAGACCTTCAAATGAAGTACAGATATGGATTTAGTTCAGCATTGCAAAAAATGGCTAAGGGAAATTTTGTGTTGTTCTGAACATCCAATTCAGTTTTAACTAGCAACAGCAGGTTGAAAGCATCGGTGATAGTCCCTCATGGCTTCAGCCAATTCAGCATCTGAATCAAACAGAGGCCATTGTGACTTACAGTATAAAATAGAGGATGGACCCAAATGCCAGATCTTTAGCAAGACTAAAAATGCACAATGACAAGTGCTGCGGCTCCATGCAGTTCTACATTTCTACTACTGAAATATGGTACAGGTCTTGGCAGTTACCATTTCAATCTGGACAAAGCTGCAAACTTAAGGGCAATTCTTGATTTCTGCTGTCAAAGTCAAAAGTCTCAGTGATTTTGAAAATATCAAAGCCTCAGAGAGCATCTGGAGTCATGACGACGGCATCATCCCATTTGAGGCCTTAGAGACATCCCATGTGCCTCTCTCAGCGCCTCATTCAGCACCACCTGAGGCAGATAAATTGTTGTTGAGACTTCGAACATCTTTTTTTTTTTTGAAAAATATATATATCAGACAGCACTTACATTTGATACACCACAAGCTTTGGATATGATTTCAGCAGTCTCAGTGACTCGCCTCAAATCAGAAGAGTACACAGCAGCATGCTTGGATTCTCTCAGACAGCTGGCAGGCCACCTTACAAGTTTTTTTTTTTTTTTTTTTTTTTTGAGCATGCCACCTTACAAGGTTCATTATCAGGTTTTGGCCAGAAATACAATGTCAGTGCTAGAGCTGGGATTGGGAATATTCATCACATTCTACATCGCAGTTTGAGCAAACAGAAATTTCCAGTGTACAACGACAGCATGTTGCCTGCCAGCCTCAATTAGCTCGACTGCCAAAACAAAAATTAACGGAGAGAGTGGGTCCACGCACCCCTCGCTTGCATTTGAATTTTCTTCCTGGCACTCCATTCAGGATAACGGCTGAGGTGCCTGTGGACAGATTGCTATTGATCCAAGTTAGCCATCTATCTGGGAACCCGAAGTGACTCAGCATCTGCAAAATTACTGTGTGTTCCATAGTGTCAAAGGCCTTCTCAAAATAAGTTTCAAGATTATTGTTTCTCTCCTAGATTGCTTGCATTGGTGAATGTATTCAAAACACCATGCCAGACAGTCTTGGATTGTGCGGCTCTTGATGAATCCGTATTGATTTTTGTGCACGAGCTGCAGGATCTTGGACTGAAGGCGATCAGCTAGGAGTTTGGTGATTACCTTGAGACTGCAATTAAGGCCTAGGTTGAGTTGGTGGCATGGGAAAAAAAAAAAACTGCTTACCTGGAAAAAGACTGCAAAGTTGAAAGCTTTTGGTTAAACAAGTATAAAATATACCTTTTATCTTTATCTCTCTTGAAACAACTATGGAAGAGCTTTTATCGTTTCAACAAAAGCCAAAAGCGAGGTCAAACCACTTTCAAAATGAACTACGGCACTTTACGAAAAAGCTGCAGCCCTTTTGGCACAAGAGGAGGAGATCGAAATCGTTATTCATCACTGATTCTGGTTTTTGGCACAAGAGTAATGAACGATTCATTGATGCTTTCCAAGTTGACTTGACCATTGTAGAAGTCTTCACAAAGTTTGTAGAAGTCCCATTTGATTAGGTGCAATGTCTTGCATTATTGCAAAGTTGTTGAATGGGAAAAGCAAGAGGACAGAGACATGCTAGCTAGCCACTACCGACTTGCAGCCTGTTCGCTTGCTCGTAAACGATCGTAAATTTTCAATCAGAAATAGTGTTTTTCTCTCACATCAAACCAGCCAGCAGTAAATAATCCACGATACGATACGACCTCCCGAACAGGCTGTTGACTTTGGGACCAAAAGCCACAGTTTTGCATGTCAGTATTTTGCAGTTACTCCATCCGTCCTAAAATAACTATTATTTTGGGTTTCCGTGACATAAGTTTGACTAGATTTATACAAAATACATGTAACATTTTTATCTCTGAATAAATTTATTAAAAACTATAGTTAAAGATCTTTCCGATGATACTAATTATGTATTATAAGTATTAATATTTCTTAATACATATTTAATTAAAATTGTTTCTTGAGAAGCGAGAACGATAATTATTTTAGGACGGAGAGAGTATATATAATTATATACTACAGTATACGAAGCTTCAGCAGGATACGTGGCCTACGCTTTTGTCGACGTCATATACCAACACCAAAGTCCAGAGTGGCAAAGGTACTAACGAGCAAGACCAGCAATCAGTCTCTCTCTGGGTCGACGGGACCTATCGGCGCTCCCGCAGCCGACAGGGTCCGCAACACAGCACGGCGGGCGTCGGCTGCCACATAGGCCTGTCGGCCCGTGAGTTGCCTACAGGTGACCTTGGCTTGCTTCTCACGACACTTAGCGGGCCACCTTAGATATAAGGTTCATCATCAGGTTTTAGCCAAAAATACAATGTCAATGCTAGAACGTTGGGATTCGGAATTTTCATTCTGGATCCCGGTTTATTTTGACCAAACAGACATTATTATTATTACCACGACGGCTTGCTCTCTGTCAACCTCATTAATCTCCTATTGACGAAATATAGTCGGCAGTCTACCAAGGGGGTTCTCTAGGTAGTAGATTAATCGGTGGAGGTGCGCTAGACGGCGAACTAGATGTGACGCAAGACAGAACACCGAGATTTATCCAGGTTCGGGCCGCGAGGTACATAATACCCTACGTCCTGCATCTCTGTTGTATTGTATTGATATGAGATCAGATGTTTTTTTGAGGGGGTCCTTGCCCGCCTTATATAGCTGGAGGGGGCAAGGTTACAGATCAGGAAATCTAGTCCTAGTCAGTTACAACTGCCATATTGATAATAAATACAATATGTTTCCTAACCGACTAGGATCTTCCTTGACCTCCGAGTCTCTCTTGACTCTTGATAACTTACGCAGCACGCCGACCTCTGGTGGGCCTGCACGGGCTTGATCTTTTAGGTCGAGCCCAGCCTCCGGTGTAGCCCATGTATAGTCGTGAGGGTATAGGGGTTTATCCCCCCACAGCTAGGTCCCCGAGCATTAAGTAATTTGGGGAAAAAGCTTCTCCGACTTGTTTGCAACTTCATCTTCTCGTGTTTCAACACTTCTACTTCTGATCATCAACTTGTTCTTGTCGAGTGATTGTTTTTGCCCACAAATTGCGTAATGCTCCAAGCAGAAAAAAATTATTTCACCTCTGGTGAAGTGTGCCCGAAGGTGAGGTAAAGCAGAGCACTGTAGAATGTAGAATCAGCCATAACCAGTATAGCACACTCACCGCTAGGTGAAGTGTGCCCACTTAGTCCCCGAGCCTGGCAATAGGTGGAATATACACGTGGTGCCAGGGTCAAAAGAAAAAAGTTGTATTGAAATCTTGGTGTGATTTCCCGAGTTCTATAAATGAATCTCCCCGTCCGAAGACGAATATCCAGTCCCCGAGCTCTGCTCATGGGCCCTACTCGACGTCTCGGACGGAGCAGTAATTTTCTGAGCTCTGCTCGTGATGCAGCCAACGCCTCAGGCGGGACGCAAGTTCCCGAGCTCTGCTCATGGGCCCCGCTCGACGTCTCTGATGGAGCGGTGATTTGCCGAGCTCTGCTCGCGAGGCAATCCACGCCTTAGGCTGGACGCCAGTCCCCGAGCTCTATTCATGGGCCCCGCTCGACGTCTCTGACGGAGCGGTTATTTGCCAAGCTCTGCTCGGGAGGCAATCCACGCCTCAGGCTGGATGCCAGTCCCCGAGCTCTGCTCGTGGGCCCCACTCGACGCCTCTGACGGAGCGGTGATTTGCCGAGCTCTGCTCGCGAGGCAAACCACGCCTCAGGCTGGACGCCAGTCCCCGAGCTCTGCTCCATGGGCCTCGCTCGACGTATCT